TACGGTTAGTCCTTATGTTCAAACTCAATGTGAATCCGGGAACGGTCTCAAGACACACGTAGCAACGATGCCAGCAGCATTGTGAACTCGATATATTTCAGAGTTAAAACTTTGTGCTATATCATACAGGTATAGGTACTCACTTTCTTCCGACGCCGTCCCCAGAGGTGTCCCCCTCCCCCCTCCCCTTCCCTCCCAGGCCCTCCCTCTTCCTCCCAGCGCAGCAGAAATTACATGAGAAACAACCGCCTCTCCCTCATCCACCAAGCTGTCCCCATCTCTATTTTGGGGAGAAATAGCATCATAAAGAGCAAGCGACCCGCAACAAAAAGGTCCAAGCCAAGTGATCAGTCAAAATCGCTAAACAGAGGTCTGGAAAATGAAAAGACGATTTGGCACCTGAGGTGTGAAATCGCTGTTCTTATGCTGGCCGAACCGTTCCCAATCATAAGCCTTTTCTGCTCATATGTCGTGCCCCAAGTACGTTGCTTGTCCACCCAACCCTTCGCCAAAAAAGAACCAGAAAGAGTCTCAAGAACGACGGCAAACCACCAGGCAGAACTTGACAAGGCAAGTTGCCTTGAAAAAAAAAATTAGAAAACCAAGCCGACGCCGCCATGCGCAGACCCAACCTCCCAGGATCCCGAGTGCCAAAGACATTCTCGGTCTATAATCCCTTGTCCGCCACGCTTTTCTCTCGAACCCACCACCTTTAAAGCGCCACGCACACAGCACAAAGGGTCTGGGTCTGTCAGGCGAAACCAGAACCCAAATGTGTTCAAAAACCAAGAGCTGACCGCACCGATATCTGGACGGGTTGAGCGCACCAGATGTCCAACAAAAACAACCAGGGGGAGGTGGTGTCAGCAGAAACGAAATCCCGGCAAAACACCGCCGAAAAGCAAGAGGTATAAAATACGGAAGTAGGTAATGGACATGCCCCAATCAAACGCCGAACCAGATAAGCCTCGTCAAATGTGTGGCCTCATCGTGATGATGTCGAATGTGAAACTGGACGTTTACACAGGTGCATTAATTGCTGGGTATTGAGATACGTAAGGTAAAGTCATGACAAAACTCGGCCGGGACGGTTACGACTGGTGACCAGCGTGCTGTTGCAGACCGGATTGCGGCATGTATTGGCCGCCGCGCTGTTGGCTCACGTAGTTCTGATAAGCCATCGCGCTGGGGTCCATCCCGCCAACGGGCATGTAGTTGGGAGGCATGGCGTGAGGCTGCGGCATTCCAGGTCGTCCCTGCTGAGGAGGAAGATGGCTGCTGGGCGGCTCCTCGGGGGAGTCGACGGCATTAGCGTCGTCGACACCATTCTCAGCGCTGCTAGAAGGCTCTGGCGCGTTCAAGCAGGCCTACAACAGCATGTCAGCAAAGATCCATGGCCATGATGCGACAGTTCACGCGACGCGTGCATCCTGCCCGGCTCCCGAGCTCATGTCTTACCTGGATCAGATTCTTGCCCTCGGACTTGGTAACCAGAGGCTGGAGCTTCGGCGTCGTGAATGTATAGACGAGGCCAGTTTCGGACACGACGAGGAGGAGCACCTGGGTGCCTGTCAAGACTGACAACTCGTAGGCCTGATATACACAGCAGTTCGGATTAGCGATTGACCGATCGTGGAGAAAAGACGCGTTTTTGCAAGGAGCGCGCTGCTCTGTCCAAACATGCGAACGAACGTACCTTCTTCATGATACCAGCCTTGCGCTTGGAAAATGTGATATGGCGGCGCGACTTGTCGCTGATGAACTTGATCTCAATCTTGCGACGCTCACGGCCGCCCTTCTCGTCGTCGTCATCGTCGTCGTCGGCAGTGCTAGGTCGGGCGCGCTTGATGCCACGAGACTCTCCGGCGACCGAGTTTCCATTGCCGACCGAGTGCGCGTCGTCGAGCTCGGTTGGGGTGGTTTGGTCGTGCTGGTCAGTGATGTCGGCCATTTTTACCGTTCAGGTATCACGAGATACAAAAAAGGCAAAATGGTGGAGATGCTGTTTTGAGCGGTATGCCGATGGCCTAGACTTGATCTGGCGTTTGAGCGGAGAGGTCGCCTTTTTGTCGCAGAAACCTGGTTGGGTGCTGCACTGTAGTCGAGGCTGGTCCGGCGGAAGGAAGCGAGGAATCACGTTTAATTTTTATTTGTTGCTTTGTCTGGCAGGCTGACCCAGGCAGGCAGTTCGCGTGTGTGGCATGCACCGGACGGAGCAACTCGACACAGAGAATCGGATCGGTTATTTGAAGAGCGATTGGGAACTGGCAGGCTGGGAGTAAAAAGAGAACACAAAAACGGATCAATCAAAAGAAGCCGCGATGCAGATTTGACTGAATTGACCGCGTCAAATACGTTTTTGGACTGCTGGTTCCCTGTCCAGAAACAAGCATCAAATGTAAGTAGGCGCACCTGGACTGAACGGGTTTGGTGACAGCGGAATGATTGAAAAGAGGATAGCGAGTTGGTGGCACGCAGCCTGCGGGCCATATGAACGGACCAGACAGTTAAAAAAAACGAAGGCGGGGGGGGGGGGGTGGCGGTCCTCGAGTGCACCGTGTGAGGTGGGAACGCGAGAGGGAAGGGGGCTGTCCCGAGGCCTTGCCAAAGGGAGGAAAGGGTCAGGGAAGGGGCGCTAGCTGGGTAGCGGCATCCATGGGGGCAACACCCACCTGCAGGAGGCTGCAGCAGCAAGTTTGAACTTCACACTTGACGGCAGGAGAGCAGGCTGCAAGAACACCGTGGCTGCATCTCTGACACTGCCGCTTCTGACCTGTGGTGAGTTACCTATCTTGTCACGAGTTTATCTCCATGCCTATGAAGCTCTCTTGGTCTCTTATAGGTACCGTGGCAGTCCTGGTTGGAGCTGAGTCTGAACTTGAATGCAACTGCTGTACCAGAAAGCTGATTTCCGTTCGCGGAAGGGCACGGCTCAGGGAGAGCTCCAGCTGGCATCAGGTGACTAGTGATTGGTTGGTGACAGGCCTGTCAGCTCCACAACTGCCCTGTCAGGGTTCCGTCAGCACAGTGCACCGTTTGGAATGGAGACTGAGCGGCCAGGTAGCCACAGTTCGCTTGCGGAGAGATGCACTGTGGTAATCAAGCGATCCCCATCGAGACCCAGGTAGGGACAAATAACGTTGGCGAAGAGACAGGCCACTGAGTGCTCTGTGCCACCGGGCCTGTTCGCTGGGGCAATGGTCAATGCAGTCTGACAAGCGTGTGTGGGGGACTGAAGGCCTCGACGGCTTCCAGGTTGACTTCCATCTAAAACCCCCAGGCCCAGGTCCAGGCCCAGGCCGCTGTCATCTGTCATTCTCTCGGCCATGTTATCAGGGCTGATCTCTGGAGAAGAGACGGAGAATGAAAGACGGTGTTGCGGCCTTTCTCTCCACGGGGGAATATCCGATACCCACAGACCTGGAGACACGATGGATCACTGTTTGTGATTCAACGGCAAGCGAAGGTGCCCTATTATTTCTTGCGCGTAACACTTCCGGCAGGGCACTTGCATCTGACATGGTAAATTTCAATGGGCTGTGTGAGCCAGCACGGGAGGCGGTTCGCCGAGGATGCCCGTGGGTGTGGGGTCGTCAATGGTCTTCTTTGACGCCGCAACTCCGCAGTACCAGTCCGCGTCGCCCGTCAGCCAGCACAGAGCGGCTTTCCTCTGGTTTCCTCACGCTTCACGCGTCCCTCCCTACCCCCTCTCGCCGCGAGTCCTCCGGTGCAGACAGAACAGGGATTTTTCGCGGGTCGGAACCACTCTTTAGGACGCCGTGTCCAATGACGAGCACCGCCAACCATCTTACACTTCCCATCCTCATCAGAACGATGCAAGGTGTGTGGAGGAGCAGCTACAAACTATCGAATTCCGAAGCCTCTCGAGTTGCCTCCATCGACCCCCTGGAACTTTTCCTTGGAATGCAACCAGTGACGCTGGTGATCGCAGCCGACAATCAGCTCAGCGTGTAACCGCAGCGGGGTATTATTTTATTTCGTTTCTGCAATATATCTATCTACCTGCAGCTCTGGGTTGTCAGTACGAGGAAGAGATGAGATTGGAAATCTGTACGTCTACCGCTGGACTCTCCAGTCCCTTGGATTGATATTGGATGGAGAGTGATGGGCTGATGACAGATGGCGCACTGCTCCTCCCCCACCGACGATCGATGTGAAGGCTAGGTTGAGCTCGCCCGGGAGATGTGAGATGTACCGATGGCGGGCAATATGTTTTACTTCCCAGCCAACCAGAAAGCCGGTCTGCAGATGACGAATAGAAAAAAATCTGACAGGTCAAGCGGCTCGAACACACTTGACATCGACGACAAGCCATCATGAACATTGAAGCACTGTTCAAACAAGATATGTCATATCTTGGCGTTCAACAAACCCGACCTCAAGCTCTGGAATTGTTGCGTTGCGCGGCCCCCGCGGTGGGGTTTTAGAATTTGTTTTTATAGCGACCCGTGCCGTTTCCTCCTGTTCGAGTCGTTGCGCGATGAAATCTTGGAACGATTTGCCCGTGAGGTGAGGTTGGTCCCATGCATCAGACAAGGGGGAGGGGAAGCGGGGAGAGGCGATGGCGTGTGATTGCGCCCGTGGAGGATTTGCACACGAAAAAGGGGCCCTGGTAAGCCGTAGTCATAGCCGGGGGGGGTCAAAGAGCCGCTGGTTGATGCACAAGTAGGGAGAGATTTTATTACTTGTAATGCTTCCGTTTCCAACATAGGAGAGGGGGGACCATCGATAGCGACGAAGTACCATGGGATTGTTCAGCTCTGGGGTGAATTCATCTCACAGAAGATGGGATGAAGTGAAGTGAATGACTTTCCGCCTCGTCTCCAAACTGTGTGAAAATCTGGGGCGAGGAAACGTTTGGCGCCTTTAGTTTGGAGCGTGCTTTTGAGGCGGGCCTACCTTGCTCTATTTTCTCGGCTCAAACTCCAGGTTCGACACTCCTGGTGTTTATCGATGCTCTCTGAGACTACAGAGATGCTTATTTGTCACTGTTTTCCACTCCGCTTCTTGCAGTGGAATCCCAACGGTGAAGTGTGGGCACTCGGCTTTTGATGGTGAAATCGCTGGTGGATTGCGCCGGAGGCCGGAGTGCAAAACTTCTCCTTCTGGAAGCCAGCCGCGATCTGATTGGTTGACCATATTCAACGCTCCGGGCGGGCCTCCACTTGGGGGCACCGAGCTTACTAATTAATTCCTCGGAAGCGGGCTTCCAACGGCCGAAGCATCTCGTCCGGTGTTTGAAGGCCTCGAACATTGTGCCTGCTGGTGAGTCTCCTGTCAGCTGGAACACCAGTCGAGAACCTGGGTTTTGCTGATCTACAACGACATCACAGCTCACCAAACCCCCGCATGATATTTATAGAAACAAACTCTGTTGTCGATCATACATCAGGTCATGTTTTGTCGAAAACAGGACCGCGAATTGTTTTATATAATTTCCAGCTCACAATCTTGGGATATTCTCACACACTGCGTCGTATCTACACCGTCTACTCTTCAGCCGTTATGTCCAAAAAGCGGTGTCTTGAGAGAGAAAGCAGATTCGTCGGAAAGAACGGATGGAGAAGCCACTGGGAACTTCAGAATCCTATCTTTGTACCACACCGACCCGATCTGCCCGATTCTGAACTTCCGCCAACTCATAGTACCATGTAGTTGGGCTTGTCCCATCTGTGCAACAGAGGCGATGCTGCGATACCGTTGCTCATCTTGGTCCAGCCGCCGTCAGAACGGGATCTCGAGGTTGTGTTAGCATCTGTGTCGCGCTGAGCGTGGTACTGAGGGGTAAGTGCCAATCTGTACTCCAGCTTCTCTACCTTCAATCAATATTCCATGGGAAGCTATCGCCGAAAACCCAATCTCGCAGCAACACCATGAAAGAGAGACAACCAGGCTCGAGATATCTTCAAATCCGGCCCCTCCATGTTTATTCAGGAACGGTGGCGCAAATTGATGGCGGGTGGGCGGAAAGACGCAATGGTTCGATCTCGACCGTCCCCAGACCCCTTGGGCCTGGGGTCAGGCAACCAATCCTGTGCCTCGGGGACGTTGCACTCGGCGCCACAGAGCGCCTAATGGCCCGTGCTGGCGCGTCCGTCCCTTGTCAGCCCATGTCTCCCGACGCCATCTGAAACGGCTTCTGTTAGGGACCGAGAATCTCCTACGACACTGGACAGCGTCTGCGCAAGCCCTCATACAGGCTGAAGCAGGCGGTTGACTCGCTGCGGTGGAGCAGAATCAGCTGTTTCTTGTCGCAGTCAAGCCCATTTCTCTTGGTGCATTGTCGCCAGGGCTGGCAGTTTGAAGCACAATCTGGCATTGTGGTAGGCTGAGCCCGTCTCAGTTGCGCTCCCTTTTGGGTCACCTCCTCCACTCTGCCAAGGTCCCTTCTCACCATCTCCCTCTCCTTTTGCAACCTCTCTCCTTTCCGTTTCCCATCTTCCGCTGGGGAAAGGGTGTCCTATCTTAATTTTTCGTTGTCGTTTGTTGGTTGAGGCTAGACCCTCGCAGTCTCTCATTTTTTCTTGTTGCTTGTGTGTTCTGTCATTTCCTTTGGGTCCGCCTCGTGTACGTTTCGACGACAATTGCTCGCGCCGAGAGCCGGAACTCGAGAAAACCTCCATCGCTCGATGCCGTGACACGAAATCATCACCATTCAACTTCGATTCGAACCGTTATTTTAATCAACATTTTTTTGGGGGGGGTGCTGGGATTTGCAGGTCGATCTCGCCCGTGTACGCTCATTGCAAATATTTGAAAACCACGTACATACATATCACAAAGGACGAGACAAATTGAAAAGGGACGCCGGCCGTCAGTTATATACCGAAAATTGAAAGGAGAGATCTTGGAGGAACCGAAAACCGGGCTAGTTTCCCCGAAAAATAGGTTGCTCGCGAGCAGCCAACACACAACAACAAGATGGTGAACAAAGTACAAGCAGCCTACGTGGTGGCAGACGGCCTCTTTCTTCTGATGGGCATCTTCATCATCGGCTTCTCAGTAATCGTCGGGAACATCAGGGATGAGATTCCAGAAAACGGGAGGCAGGCGGCCAGAAATCTTCTGTATCAGAGGTTTCCCCTCACAGCGGGCATCGTGAATGCGGTCTTCATTTTCCTCACATTTATGGTCACCCTACCGGGGCTGGCGACGCAGTCTCGCGGGTGGCTCAAGCTGGGCGCTTACATGACGACGTTTTGCGGGCTCTTCAGCATGATTCTTGGGTTGTTCCTGTGGATCTTGACGCTGAAGACAAGAGAGGATTTTGCGCCGCTTTATTGGGCGCAACCGGCGAATGTCCAGCAGCTTATGCAGGCGGAGGTACGTTTTGTGTTTTTTTTTTTTTTGTGTTCATCAACATGTGACACTGGAATTTCTCTTACTGATTATGACATAGTTCAACTGCTGCGGTTACTTCAACAGCACCTCCCCCGCGTTCGTCACTGATGCGACCTGTTCCAGCCCAGCGGCCGCGGCTCTTGTGCGCGGCTGTGCCACACCCATCACCTCGTTCGCCAACATCTTCCTCGACAACATCTTCACCGCCATGTTCGGCATGGTCGGTATCGACTTTGTGTTTGTCATGGCGACCGCTTGCCTGCTCAAGGACCGCAAGGAGAGGGAGAGGTTCAGGCATATCGATGAGAAGAGCGGGTATGGGAGGATTTGAAGTTATTTTTTCTTTCGGCAATGGGGTGCTGAGCCGCCTGGGCCGCCACAACTCGCCAGGATTGAGACGATGACGATCGAACATGGGATGGAAAAAGGGTCCGCTTCTGGGTTTGCGGCTGGTGAAAAGAAGAGAGGGAGGAAAGCGTGTGGCGAGCAGCGGCTTTTTGCACACATCACACCATTCATTCTTTGGCAGCATCATTGTTGGGCTGCAAAGTCTTACTTTTTTTCTTCTAGCTTTATGTTACATACCATATACCTTTTTATCTCTTTCTCATTTTTTCAGTTGTGAAATTTCGATTCATGATCCCCCCCTGTATCGTTTGTAGATGTTGTCTGGATGGTGGATGGTGCGTGTAGCTGGCTATCTGCAGTTGTATATAATTATGTGTCTGGGCAAATTACATCTTTATGTTTGCAATGTCGACTGTCTTATCTCCTGTCCTTCGGTCTACCAAGGGTAGGCAGTAGGGAGTTACACCCTGCCCGCCCACGCCATAGACAGAATAATAGAGACTGTACGTGGAATCAAGGCCTTGAAAGATAACAGACACGTCCTCGACCATCTCTAAAGCCCTTTCAAAAGGTCATCAGACCTATCCATTATCTTGGATCGTCTCTCGACTATTTTCAAGTCCCCATCACAGACATTGTTCATCATGCACGACCAACCAGGCCTTTGTCAAACATCCGCACAACAACACAACAAATCCTCTTGTTTCCCCCCCCCCCCCCCCGCCCCCAGAAATATCAGCATCATTCCATCCATCAGTTCCCATCAGCGTGCCTCCATGTCTCTCCAACCTCCCCACCTAGGTACCTTACTTCTCTTAACTTCCCACCCACAACTTCACCTTGACCAAGAATAGCCCCTCTTCCCACCCAAACTCATCGTATGGTGACTCATCCTGGGTTATGTCCACTCACCACACAAGTCAGCAGTTAGCTAACCTCCCCATAACCACCCTTCCTCTACCCTCAAAAGCCAAGTTCACCCCACTTCCCATCCCCAAGACCTGTCTCCTCCGTCCAAACCCCAACTGGAACGGCAAAGAGCCAATGTAGAGGTTAATATCCCCAGTCGAACCCAGCAAGCCATATGAGCGAGACGACGACGACGACGGCGGCGGCGGCGGAGAAGGCGGGGAAGATTGCAGGGGTGTACCACCCGGCACACAACGCCGCTGCAAAGAACAGAAGCAAAAAGAAGGGCAGGGATGACCTCTGCCAAACCCCGGGGCCTATGCCGGACCATGCTGGTGAGTTGGGACAGCCGTCAAGTATGTTCGGCCACTCCCATCATGAGGTTGAAAGCTGACCCCAACCAGGAGAAGTCTGCGAGGGACTCGGTGTAGGTTCTAGCCAACGCCTGAGATCACTCGCGTTGCCTTATAGGTTTCGACTACAAGCTTCTTCGGGGGTCCTCTCGAGGTGTCTGACCCTGATGATATCTTTTGAGTTGGCGAATTCCAAGCCAGCAACTGTTACTGACATACAGCAGACGGACTTCGTAAGTCAGCAAACAAGATAGCCAACAACGACTAATCCCGCATCGAATGATGCAACTCAAGATAATGCATTCTTGGATATGCAACTGAATTTAAGCAAAACTAACTCAACCCAAAACCCCTAATCAACGCCGGCCATGAATGCTTTCCTTTACACTGGCGGTGGTGGAGGTTCATCTTGACCACCCACAAGCCTCCTTGCCCCAGACTCAGATCTACTTCTCCCAGCTCTTGGATCTCTCGAAACACTCTCCTCATCTCTATATGTTTCCACAGGGGTATCTCTATACGATTCTCCTGCCCCACCGCCCCAAGTCGCCGAATCCTCCGTCGTCGGGAGAACCGGCGTGGTACTAGCAGACCTACTGCCGCTGCCTTTCCACCACCTCATCTTCCACAGGTTCCCCACCGCATCCTGTAATCCACCGCCGGAGGTCTTCCTCGATGAGTTTCTTCGTGCGGTAAATCCCGGAAAGCCAGTTGACTTCCTTCTTCGCCTAAAGTCCCTCCTTGGCGAGGCTGACGAGGGTAATAATGGTTCCGTATCTGCTGGTGCATCGCCCAGAATGGGAAAGTCGGTCACACCCCTCCTTATCGCTTGACGGGCAGCGATCGCCTCCCTAGCTGGCAGCGTAGTCGACCGCCGTCTGTTCAAAGCAGGGGGTATGGGCTCTGGTGACTCTCTGTCTTCGAGCTCGTCCCAGATCTCCGCTCGTTCTGTCCAGCGGTTGGAGACTGTCCTCATCGAGCGTGCCGTTGGTCTTTGTCGTTTTGGCATGACCAATGGTGATACCGGCGGTTGTTCAGCAGGGGTTTCCAAGGAAGTACGAGCTGGCTTAAAAGTTTGGTAGCTGCTGTAATGTGGTGGCGGTAGCGGCCGGGCTTCTTCCTCATCACCAAGTGCAGAGTGAAGCAGGAGCTCTTCCTCCTCTTCCTCGCCGTCCGTGTCCTCCACAAGGCCAAGACCAGGTGCGAGTGAAGACTGGCCGACACCAGGGGTATGTTGCTCGTCGCTGAGGCGCCATGACAGCGCGAGAACGCCAGATAGTAAAATAGCTGTTCCAAGGGCGATGAGACATGCGCGGAGCGGGCCTATCAGGTCTGTCTGACGGAAATAAATCAGGCCGTCCAGAATCGCGATAATGTTATAAACGCAGAAAATCAAGGGGTAAAGCACCGACGTCGAGACCAGCTTAAGCCCCCGATGAAGGTAGTAGAGTTGGCTGAGGGCCAACGTGACGAGACCCAGAACCAACATCCACGACTGCCAGTGTACAAACTGGTTGTCCCCATCGACAATCGTCCTGATGATGAGCTCCACAGCTGACTTGGCAACCAGGAGCGAGTGCGCAGATAGTATGCCACTTATGCATCCATACGCAAAACCCCTTGCCAGACGAAACCGTGTATCCTGCATCCATGTCGTAAAGTGGCTGACGAATTCTGTTGCCACCGCAATAGCAATCACGATTACCGCCTGGAACGACATCCAAATCACAAACGGCCGCCTCCCAAGCAGATCCAGCAGCTCCGTAAGCGTATGTGTCGGCGAGGGAATCGCCCCAAATATGGCAATCAAGACGGCGCCGCTGCAGACCAATAACGTCCCCCATAATGACCACCTCGTAAACGGTTCTCCGAGTATCAGGGTGGCGCAAATCGAGTTGAACACCAGTCCGGAAGCTTGTAATGTCGACAATACCGGCAGAGGGAGCATTGATATTTGGATAGAGCTCCCCAGCACGTTGGAAATGATAAACATTCCCATCCCCAGCTGCCACCTCCTCCTCCTGTAGGGCGGGCGCCTAACATCGTAAGGGCCCTTTTCGTCTTCGAGAATATGCGATTTTCGTTGGAGTGTGAGACCCAAGCTCTGAACACTGGTTGATAGAAGGCCGACTATAATGCCGAGCTGTCACCAGGGAGCTGTCAGCGACTTTCCTGCTGCCAGGTGTTTCCCATCATGTCGGAGGACAACTTACAGCAATGCTCCCGCCAGGAGACAAGCCGCCTATAAGCCCCATTGCGCCAGTAGACAACCAGTCCTCCGGCGGTTCTCGAGGGCAAGTAAACGGTGTCCTATTGTGTTCGCATGGGCAATCGTTGTGGTGCTGAAGTGTTGGGATAGGCAAAAGGAAAATCGGTGGTTAGGATTCGGATAGAACTAGTCGTAAATCGTAGCTGAACTGGACAAAAAGGGAAACAAAAAGAAAGAAAAATAGACGAGGTGCCCAAAGCCTGTTTACTCGAAGAATGTATCGAAAAGGTGGTAGGCGTGGAAACTCTGAATCGTGGGCCGGCGCTTCGTCGACCGTTTGCGTTGGGAAAGAGTAAAGATGCTGTGTCTGACCGCTGCCAGGAAACGTCACTCAATGACGCTACCAGTTCCCGGGCACTCGATCAGAAGGGAGCAATGGGGTGTTTGTTGTTGCAGATGGTTTGCAGACAGCCCGGCGTATGAGTGTTTCTTGTGTCGTTCAAATCCACAGTGGCCGAGGTCGAGGCTGGCTTACGGGGGACTGCGATCTTGAGGCACGGTGTTCTGGGCCTGGGGAAGAGAGGCCACTAAAAAGGCCCGGCGCTGCTCCTGGTTGCGGTATGAGAGCTGTGAGACCACTGGGCCACCGCGGTCGGGTTCAGCAAGTTGTTTGCCGGGAACGGTCAGAGATGTGGTTCGCAAAAGCGGCGCATCGTGGATCTGGAGACAATTCGGACACGAGATGAGCGGGTGAGCAACGATTCGCAGACGAAACGCTGGCCTTTCTCCCCGTCACTTCCACCGTGGGGACATTCGGCGACAGTGGACAGGGACAGGCCAAGACGCAGCTCAGCTGGGGCTGTCGGTGCGTGCCTGCATCACCAGGCCTGGCATACTTTGGGCACCAGCCACATGTGCCAGCACATGCCAACATCAGGTGGCATTGTGGCTTTCATCCAAGCTGTGGCTTGACTTCCCGGTCCTTTATCTTATCAGTCCGAGGTGGGGGATGCAACGCGTGGCTGGGCTACTCAAGCAGACCCACCATTGCGAGCTCCTTGACCGGGGGGGGGGCGGTTGCTTGTCAGCAGCTGTTGGTTCCAATGACATCGCAGGAGCCACAGCTGCGCGGCACCGCAACCTCCCATTGACTTTCTAATCGGCAATACCACTGCCTAGAGACATACAGCTACATTTCCCTGTGAAGGCTCACATCATCATAAACCTCCCCGCGCAACCCTATCGAGATCATCTACAACCGCGGCCAGGCCAGAGCATATCGCATCCTCTAAACGACCCCCCTCCCGCTTGTCCTTGCGGAACCTGTATCACATAGTTCCCTACGAGTTCCAACTACAAAACCGCCCATCATGTCAAGTATTCACGCCTTGTCCGACGACCAGGTATGTCTTCTGGTTCTAGAAGTCCCCAAAACATATCACCTTTGGTGCAGCATCACCGCTGGCTGCAATGGGGTTCAACACCATCCAAAGGACGGGAAGATGGCTAACGCCCCTCCCTCCAGGTCGGACAAGAACTCCGCAAAATGACCGCCTTCATCAAGCAAGAAGCCGAAGAAAAAGCCCGCGAAATCGAAATCAAAGCCAACGAAGAATTCTCCATGGAAAAGGGCAAGCTCGTCCTCCAGGAGACCGACGCCATCGACGCCGCCTACGCCAAAAAGTTCAAGCAGGCCACCATGTCGCAGCAAATCACCCGCTCCACAGTCGCCAACAAGACCCGTCTCCGCGTCCTGGGTGCCCGTCAGGAGTTGCTCGACGACATCTTCCAGGCGGCCGAGAAGAGGCTTAGCGAGGGGACCAAGGACAAGGACAGGTACGAGGGCATCCTCAAGGATTTGATTCTGGAGGGGTTCTATGCGATGAACGAGCCGGAGCTGCAGATTAGGGCGAGGAAGGCAGATTATGAGCTGGTCAAGAATGCGATTGAGAAGGCGGAGGGGGAGTATAAGGAGAAGACGGGGAGGGAGGTCAAGGCGACGATTGATGAGGAGAATGAGGTTGCTGAGGGGAGGTGAGACGCATTCCACCTTCTATGGTTTCAGGACATCTGCTGACATGATATCATTTACGCAGCGCCGGTGGTGTGATTATTGTTGGTGGCAACGGCAAGATCGACATTGACAACACTTTGGAGGCCAGGCTGGATCTGCTAAAGGAGAGCGCCCTTCCCGCCATGCGCAAGGCTCTGTTTGGCGAGAACCCCAACCGCAAGTTCTTTGACTAAGCTTCCTATTCCTGTTTATGTTTCTTTGGGGTAGGGTTCATGACTGAGTAGTAGACAAGGAGGAGGTGGCGGATAAAGTGTATTGTTGTTTCTATGATTCAACGTGCGTGTTGGTAGTGTTGAGCAAGCCAAAGTAGCATGGCGTGCGCGGGTATCAAGAGTTTGTATGTTTATATTACAGGGGGGGCGTTCTTTTCCACGAAACCACAAGGAGGAGCAAAGCAATTCAAATACCATGCATCAACACCTACATCGTTGAACTATGACCTGCAGTGACTTTCCCCTAAGGAGTCGACGGCTCAGTCTTGGCCTTATTTTTCTTCCTCAGCATCCACTCTGTCAGGGAACTCTGGTTGACTGGCTTTTTGTCCTGATCCTCCTCGTCCTCGGACCTGAAAATGTGACCCACCGGCTTTGCCCTCGTCCTGATCACTCTCAGCAACATCGCCTCAAAGTCCTTGAGCTGCGCCTTGGCCTCCCATTTAGACGAGTGAGCCGCGCTGCCATCTGGAATCTGCGAGTACATGTTCCTCACATGGCGGGCCAGCAGGTCTACTTCGGCGTTGAACTGCCTGTGAGCGGCCTCGTTTGCCCCATCCTGTGGGGGGCAACCATCGGCTACTGCGACGGCGACCATCTCGGACATGGCACGGAGGTTGTAAAACTCTTTGCTGTGCCTGTCGATGATGAAGTGCTCCGAGTGCTCCAGGAGGTCGAGGACGGACTGGATGGAGAAGGTTTCTTCTGGTCTGGAGCGGGCGCGTTGGGGTTCGTTGAAGAGGAAGGTTAAGGCTAGGCGGCGGCGGAGTTCGTTGAGGCGTGGGTGGGTGAAGGGGAGGGAGGAGATGGCGAGGGAGCGGAGGGCTGGGGAATGGGTGTGGGAGTAGAGGGAGTCGGTTACGTCGCCGCACTGGGAGGGGGGTTAGCGAGTAGGCTGGGAGGACAGGAAAGGGGGGAGCCTTACAAAATTGTTCCAGGCTTCCCGGGGGACGGCTCGGACTATGCGGGGAAGGCAGTCCTGAAAGTCTTGTGCCACGCCTGGGTCGTCGCGGACGATGTTGTCTATTCCTAGGCGGAGGAGGATAACCATGGCTTGGGTGAGGGAGGGGACTGAGAGGCCGTGGGCGGTTTTTGATAGAATGCGCAGGACGGTTTGCAAGGGGGTCCAGTCTCGTCCGGAATAGGGGTTCTTTCTTAGCCAGTTGCCTTGATCTTGTTGAGAAGCTGGTGCGAGGGCGTGTTTGGAGGCTCCAAGGTCTCGAAACATCTGAACGATAAGGTCGGGATCCATGACCCGCGCTGCCTGCGCTGGACAGACTCCAAGAAGTCTTACATACTCTTCACGGAGCTTTCTAGACTTTTCGTGAAGGACTTCGCCCAGAACCCAGAGGAAGATATCATCTGGTAGATCGCCCTGTTTGCTTTGGATGTAATAAGGCAGCCCATCTTCGAATATTTCCCGTCTGCCTTTTTCCTGAGCTAAAAATGACCATGAGCCCGTAGCCCTAGCTTCTGGGAAGTTTGCCCTCGCCGTAATAGAGGCGCCGTCGTCGACCTGAGTCTCTTCCTCAAAGAAATACCACTCCGGCCTCACCTCCAGCGCTTCAGTCCTTTTAACAGCGAGAAGTCTCCTCCCTCTCTTAGCCTCATCCTCACTGCTGTCTAGACCCGGGAGAATAGCCTCCATGGCAGTGATTGGCCTGGCGCTGAACGAAGACCTGTCCTTCCTTGTTGGGGAGCCTTGAGCTATGGCAGCAGCAAGCCGCTGCTGGCTCTCATTCAATTTTCGATCCGTCTCTGCATGTTCAAGCAAGGCTTTGATGTCGTACCTGTGCTTTGTGTTGATTGTGAGTGGTGATGAGCAGGCCTCGACAGCGATTCTCTTTGCTTTTGGAGTTGCTAGCAGCGTAGAGGCCGGAGCTGGGGCCGAAGTAGGGAGAGAGGTGAAAAGGTCAGGAAACGCATCAGCGTCTGAGTCGTCCGAATCATCCTCTTCATCATCTGAGCCTTTGATCACTTCATTCCTGTCTCTAGGCTTCCTGACCGGTGGCAGTGACGAAGAAAATGAGCGTAGTGCTGAAGGAGGCGGTAGCGGTGAGGAAGAGAGTGAGCGTAGGGCTGAGGGTGGTGCTGGTGGGGGCGGGGATGGTGATTGTGGTGGTGGTGATGATGATGGTTTTTCGATTTGGGATTGTTGGGGAGGGCTCGATGGATCCTCCACTTTTGGCTTAAAGAAGCTTGTGATAAAGGCATTACTCGACATGATGAATTATGAAGTCGCTCTCTTACTTGATTGGCCGAGTTCTTTTCCAGTGTCTCGAGATAATCGAGATAATCGAGACAATCTGAAGCATCGCTTTGAAAGGGTGCCTTGGCGAGGCGCGTTCAGTAGACGCGTTTACAGCATATTTCGCGCCTTCCACTTAAACTATGGGTGAACCCCTTGGTCTGTGCTCGGCTTCTACACAGTATGGAACAAGACAAGAAAGCCTAAACCCCCATATGTGCATACCGTATTCCTTATCTCATCCTGACGGTGAGCAAGCCTTGTAGAACACGGTGCGAAACACGAGAGGCTGAAACTCAAACAACACTGACTGCCTCGGGATACTCTACAATCAAATCATTTGATTGGCCGAATGTAAGGTCAACTGTCTACAGCGAGATGAGTATGTATGATAAACCGCCGCCAGTTGGCACGGAGTTTCCCAGAGAATGTCTGCCTTTCGGACTTTCACCGTGTTCGGGGATAGAAAGGGGGGCTGGGCCGCCATCTGGCATGTTGCCAGCCCGCTCGGTTAACTCCGTGTCTGTTCCTTGGAGACCGAGTTTCGAAACAATGGGATTGTGTCTTCTGGGATAGCTACCGTTCCAACTCTATTTTCTGGTAAAGCAGTTGAGCAAACCTCACCATCCAGGTAAAAGACCCCTATTGATCCACATTTAGGGCGGTTGAGTGAGCATGAGGTTGCGGAAGGCCACGCATAAGTTTCGGTGCTGAGGTCCTGGATTGCGATGAAACCCCATCCAGAGATCATCGACAACGGATCCTTGAGGTGCCCCATGAACTGATTGGGCTGGAAGACTTCTGACCTCTGGGGCACAGCTTGAAAGGGGTTGATGTCTCACCAGTCCTGTCCCATCATGATGACATCGTCGGGAGCTAGTGATACAAGGCAACGGTTTTTCTCACTTGCGACGACCCTTGGGACCGAGGGCTCCCAGAGGAAGTGGCTGAGGGTAGGGTCCGGTGCCGAGCATGCCGTCAGGTGGTGATCGATCTGATGGGTGAGGTGAGTGCGCAACTATTTAGGTATTCTGGTAGGCGTGGCGGTGTTGAAGAAAGCCCGCCATGTGCCATTCGTAGGCAGCGTGGCGCTGCCAACAGTCTGATGCCCAGTTTCGGTCCGTGTCGTGATCTGAAGCACACACTGTTCGGTGTATTCATCAAGGCCGCAACAATATCTGCGCTCTTGGTGTCGGATGCGATGGTTTCCCAAAAGGCCGATTTTCGAAGTCCGCTAAGCCGTCGGAGAGCAAAGAGTTGGATAAAAACCGCTAGGCGAGTTGTGCACGCCTTCTTGGCCAGCCGGGCTGCGTATGTAGCGTCGTTTTTTTATGCTTTCGATGCTTCCAATCGTCCAATGGCTATTCTTCGCCGATCTAAGTTGCAACGATGTCGGCACCCCGGGTTAAAGTCAAACTCCGAGATGGCGTACTGTGCCGAGACTGAAGCAAGCAGGCCCAGTAGTCTAGAAACAAAGTCGAGATAGTTGTAGAACTACAAAATAGAAGGCTGAGCAGAAGGTTAGGATCTTGTACGTGCACTATGTGCTGGAATGCCCATGGCTCTTTGGCTTCTTGTTCGGCTGGCACGGACACACTTTTCGTGTGTTTCCAAACGTCTGAAGGCGCTCATACGGTCCATGTCTTGCAGAGGATCGTCGACCGCTTCGAGGCCCCAAATTGGAAGTTTGCTATGAGTCTCCGCTGCCCCACATTGAATTTACTTACTAATCCACATGGACGTTGCAGCACATGGAAGGCGGTGTTTACTGCCGAGCCCTTGTGCGAGATGTCTGTTGGTGAATGGTTCATTGTGATTTTTGTCCCTGTCTCTGGTTGAGAAAGGCGCTTGGAGGCACTCGGACTCGATGAACATTTGACAGTGATGTACAGCGTAGCACAGGCATATGCACCCCGTGGATTCATGCCGACAAAGAGTCCTCCAAAAGTCCCTCGAGATGAAATCATAGAACCGTCCCTACGGGCTGGCAGTTACACACGTTGGACAGCAGCCGGGCGGCTGGGGTGGGCTGGAGTGTGCTGGAGTGTGCTGGGTGCCCCACACCTTGTGCCGCGACGCCGTAAAATGAGAGCTTACGGACAGGGTTGCTGACCAATTCAGGGACCCCGAAGTTAACGAAGTCCAGCGGGAGCCCCCGTTTTGCAGTTGTGGCCTTCTGGGCTGGGAAGAACGCAGCGTGCAGCACCGCAATCCACAGCCATCCCCATCCTGGAGCGTGTCCCCTTTTGGAGAACGTCCAGTTTCGCAGAAGTTTTTTCTCCTTTCTTTTCCCTCCTGTTCATGCAGACCTCCCAGCAGCACATCCAGGCTTTTCCTTGCGAGCCCGTCCCCGCTGGATCATGAGGTGCTTGACGGTCTATCGCTGACTGCAACAACCCCGGCTCATCCGGTCCGCCACGTTTCTACTGCCCGTTTCGCCCTCGCGCATCAAAATCTCTCCCTGCTACACCCTGACACCCGCGAGCCATCCCATCCCATCCCATCACGAGCACCACCAATTTCTGCCACCGGTCCCAATCTCGGCCACGCTTCCCGAAGACCCCGATTCTTTCTGTTCGCCATCGCCGCCGTCGCAACTTGAATAGGAGATTGCAATTCTTTCACCGTACGCGCCTGGCTCATAAGGAAGACGGACGGCTTGCTTGGCTTTCGAAACAACAGCACGAGCCACAGCATCAAAGGCGCTTTTCCCCCCAAGTCCCGCCATCCTTTTGTTGGCCCCGGATTATTTTTACTCGACGACACGTATACGACCCGAGTTGTTGCTTTGGGTAGCCTAGGCCGTATTCACTGCCCTGGTGTCGAATCAGTGACGGTACCGGACGGGGCCAGCCTGGCGAACGCAAGTGGGTTGATCGGGCGCTGCCCGGAATCCCCTCCTCGACATGGCTTCTCCACCAGTGGCAGAAGAGGGGAACGATAACTTGGGGCCGGAAATAGCGATGCAGAGGACACGATGGGCCACCCGGAAGATGACGGTGAAGAGTGGGACGAAGAAGCGTCTATCACTGATAGGCAGGAAACAACACAACCGGACCGCGTCGGAAAAGAAGAGGGCATCTGGAGGAGCAGGTTCGCTACAGCAGCCCGAGGAGGCTGTCCCAGAAGAAGAAGAAGAGGTCGATACCCAGAGCGAGAGTGCGCACGACGAGGGCGGCCCTGCTCCAAGACAACTTTATTTTGGCCAGCCGTTGCCACGCGAACTCCAAGACGAAGAAGGCAAGCCGGCTCGACAGTTTACGAGAAACAAGATCCGAACGGCCAAGTACACGCCATTATCCTTTATTCCTAAAAACCTTTTCTTTCAATTTCACAATGTCGCCAACATATTCTTCTTGTTCATAGTGATTCTAGTTGTGAGTGGCCCCTGGGTTCGATTGAGCGGTCAACGTTTCAGGTGTCATCGTTAACATTGTGGCAGATTTTCCCTATTTTTGGTGGTGTTAATCCTGGACTAAACGCCGTACCCCTAATTTTTATTATCTGCGTTACCGCAGTCAAGGACGCCATCGAAGATTACCGACGGACGATCCTGGATAATGAGCTCAACAATGCCCCCGTTCATCGGTTACTCGGGGTCGAGAATGTGAATGTGGAGGAGGACAACGTTTCTCTTTGGCGGAGGATAAAGAAGGCAACTTCGCGGTTCTTTGGAGCTCTCTGGCGTGCCATCGAGGGGTTATGGAAGAAGGACGAACACGCTGCCGAGGAGAAGTCGAAGTCGGTCGATCCGCGCATGTCGATTGAGACCAGGACGACACCCTGGGAGGCGGTCGCATCACCCATGTCACGAAACTCGTTTGTCTCGGCTCGAGAAGAAATTCAAATGACGCCAGTACCATCGCCGTTGCCACGAAATCATGAAGAGGCTCCCAGCACCTCCACCGCCGTGGAAAATGAGGGCCTTCTTCTCCAAGCGCTCAAGGGTGATATGATAAACCCAGACGTTCCGATCTCTGGTAAGGCCAGGTTTCACAGGGATGCTTGGAAGAGCTTGGTTGTGGGCGATTTTGTCCGTATCTACAACGACGACGAACTTCCGGCCGATATCATCATTCTCGCGACTTCGGATCCCGATGGTGCATGCTACGTCGAAACCAAGAACCTGGATGGTGAAACCAACTTGAAAGTTCGGTCCGCCCTTCGATGTGGTCGTACTCTGAAGCATGCCCGTGATTGCGAACGAGCTCGGTTCGTGATTGAAAGCGAGCCGCCTCAGGCAAATCTCTACAAGTACAATGGTGCGATCAAGTGGCAGCAAAAGGTCCCCTGGGATCCAAAAGGGGAGCCCAGGGAGATGTCGGAACCTATCAGCATCGACAACATGCTTCTCCGCGGATGCAATCTGCGCAATACTGAGTGGGCTCTCGGCATCGTTGTCTTCACCGGCCACGACACCAAGATCATGATGAATGCAGGTATCACGCCCAGTAAGCGGGCCCGCATCGCTCGCGAGCTGAACTTCAACGTCATCTGCAATCTGGGTATTCTCGTGGCGATCTGCTTGGTGGCTGCTTTTGTGAACGGTGTTACCTGGGCCAAGGACGATGCTTCGCTCGCTTGGTTTGAATATGGCTCCATCGGCTCAACGCCGGAACTGACGGGGTTCATCACATTCTGGGCTGCTGTCATCGTCTTCCAGAACTTGATTCCGATTTCCCTGTACATTTCGCTCGAAATTGTACGGACGCTACAGGCCTACTTCATCTACAGCGACATGGGAATGTACTATGATAAGATCGATCAGCCTTGTATCCCCAAGTCCTGGAATATCTCTGATGACGTCGGTCAAATTGAATACATTTTCTCGGACAAGACAGGCACACTCACGCAAAACGTCATGGAGTTCAAGAAAGCCACGATCAACGGTCAACCTTACGGCGAGGCCTACACGGAGGCACAGGCCGGCATGAACAAGCGTATGGGCATCGACGTTGAGAACGAGGCGAAGGTGATCCGGGCCGAGATCGCCGCAGCCAAGGTGAGGGCCCTGGAAGGCCTTCGTTCGCTCCATGAGAACCCGTACCTGCATGACGAGGACTTGACCTTCATTGCCCCTGATTTTGTGGAGGATCTCGCTGGTAAGAACGGCAGGGAACAGCAAGAGGCAAACGCGCATTTCATGCTGGCCCTTGCTCTCTGTCACACAGTGATCGCGGAGAAGGTTCCCGGCAACCCTCCTAAGATGGAATTCAAGGCTCAATCTCCAGATGAGGCTGCCCTGGTGGCAACCGCCCGCGATATGGGTTTCACAGTCCTCGGCTCCGCCAACGATGGGATCAACGTCAACGTCATGGGCGAGGACAGGCATTACCCGGTTCTCAACACCATCGAATTCAACTCTAGCAGAAAGAGGATGAGCGCAATCGTGAGGATGCCCGACGGCAAGATCATCTTGTTCTGCAAGGGTGCCGACAGCATCATTTACTCGCGTCTCAAGAAAGGAGAACAGCAGGAACTTCGCAAGGAAACCGCCAAACATCTCGAGATGTTCGCCATCGAGGGTCTCCGTACTTTGTGCATTGCACAAAAGGAGCTCTCCGAGGAAGAATACCGCGAGTGGCGAAAGGAGCACGACCTTGCCGCCACCGCGCTGGAAAACCGCGAGGACAGGCTCGAGGAGGTTGCTGATAAGATTGAGCGTGACTTGACCCTGCTGGGCGGCACGGCTATTGAAGACAGACTTCAGGACGGTGTCCCTGACACCATCGCTCTTCTCGGCGATGCCGGCATCAAGCTCTGGGTCCTGACTGGCGACAAGGTCGAAACGGCCATCAACATCGGTTTCTCTTGCAACCTCTTGCACAACGACATGGACCTTCTTCGCATCCAGGTTAACGAGGATGAAAGTGGCATGTCTTCGGAAGAGGATTATCTGGCGCACGCTGAAGAACAACTCGACAACGGTTTGGCCAAGTTTCAGATGACTGGCAGTGACGAAGAGCTTAAGATGGCTAAGAAGGACCACGAACCCCCGGCCGCTACTCACGGTCTCGTCATCGACGGTTTCACCCTCCGCTGGGTGCTCAGCGATGCTCTGAAGCAGAAGTTCTTGCTCTTGTGCAAGCAGTGCAAGTCAGTTCTCTGCTGCCGTGTCAGTCCCGCCCAAAAAGCCGCCGTGGTTGCCATGGTCAAGAATGGTCTCGATGTCATGACCCTGTCGATTGGTGATGGTGCCAACGATGTGGCCATGATCCAGGAAGCCGACGTTGGTGTCGGTATTGCTGGTGTCGAAGGTCGTCAAGCCGTCATGTCTTCGGATTATGCCATTGGACAGTTCCGCTTCTTGCAGAGGCTTGTTCTTGTTCACGGTCGATGGTCCTACCGGCGCTTGGCAGAGTCGATTAGCAACTTCTTCTACAAGAACATGATTTGGACCTTTGCCATTTTCTGGTTCCAAATCTACTGCAACTTCGACATCGCTTACATCTACGAGTATACCTATATCCTAATGTTCAACCTCTTCTTCACCTCGGTGCCGGTCATCCTCATGGGTGTGTTGGACCAGGATGTGTCGGACACTGTGTCGTTGGTGGTGCCCCAGCTCTATCGACGTGGCATTGAGCGCAAGGAATGGACACAGACCAAGTTCTGGTAAGTAACACTCCCCTTTCCGCAGACGCAGTGGAGGCTCAAGCTAACGTTCACACCAGGGCATATATGGCTGATGGTGTCTACCAGTCCGCCGCTTGTTTCTTCATCCCATTCGTGTTCGTCACCTTGACGGCCACAGCAGCCGGCAACGGACTGGACATCGCAGAGCGCACACGTCTTGGGTGCTACATTGCCCACCCGGCCGTCTTCACGATCAATGCCTACATTCTCATCAACACCTACCGATGGGATTGGCTGACATTGCTCGCCATAGTAATCAGCGACATCTTCATCTTCTTCTGGACTGGAGTGTACACGGCTAGTACCTACGCTGTCACGTTCTACCAAGCCGCCCCCCAGGTTTACCAGGAGTTGACCTTTTGGATGTGTTTCATTGTCACGCCGGCTATTTGCTTGCTTCCGCGTCTCGTGGTCAAATGCATTCAGAAGCAGACGTTCCCTTACGATGTGGACATCATTCGGGAGCAGGCCAAGCAGGGCTTGTTCGATGATCCGCAGGCTGTTGCCGCTGCAGCTGCCGCGTCCGAGGGTCTCGAGGGTACCTCTACGGGCTCTTCAGCCTCTTCGGGCAAGATGTCGGGCAGAAGCCGCAAGTCTAAGCACGCTCAATATGCGAGCGTGGACGAAGACAGGCGGCCTATCTATCCTCCCTCCATCGCAGCCACGCACAACACACGCGCACAGAACGGCAGCGATGGCACCAACTACATCATGCAAAACCGGCAGTCCATGGATCTCCCTGAGGCCGAGCCGGTTGACAGCATTCAAAGAGAAATTACCGGACCTGGCCGGCCCTCGATAGACCGTGCCAGGCCGTCGTATGACCGAGTGAGGCGATCCATAGATCGGGTCCGTCCCAGCTTCGAGGCCAGTAACGACTTCACCTCGGCGGCGCGGCTCAGTAGGATTGAGTCGAGCCATTCGGCTCAAGGACTGCCGGGGCAGCGGAGGTTCAACCTGACCACGGTCAGGAAACGGGGGTTATCGGCATTCTCCAAGCAAAGCATTGAATGATTTGGTGTTGTGGAGGCGTGTTTGCTCTTGGAGGTTGAAAATTCGACTGTATATTATATTGGTTCCGGGACGACACACGCGTTGTTGCAGGGCATCATCGCTGCTCTTTCTCTCTCCGCTGTTCCTCGATTTACCTCTGTGGTGTCTTTGAATTTTTCTCTTTTTCCTTTTTTGTTCTTGATATCCCGGGTGTTTTTGCCACGTAGAGCTGTGTGGCGCACCCATCGCGCCGTTTAGAGCTTGAAGATGGTGAGGGTGGGGATGGAAAAGAGAGGAAGGGGCTGATTGGGAGGAAGGTTGTTTTTGGAGGTTGTAACTCAGACAAGACTTTGCCTTTTGGTGGTGGTGGTGGTGGGTGGTCAAGACAGAATACTCTCCTTTTTTTGCGAGACACAGGTCGTTTCTGTTGTTTACTGTTTTCTGAGGTTAATGAAGCCGGCGTTTGGATGGTGCATTTGCAATTTTTTGGAGTTTGAACTTGCTGGGGGGTGGTGGTGGTGGTGGTGGTGGTGGTGGTAGTACTTGTGTTTGGGGAAGAAGGGGGCAGGGTGGGCTCAAAAAACGACACAAACAAACACACACACCCACACATACAACAATTCAACTGCGCTGTATAGAGTTAGTCGGAGAGTCAATTTTGCATACATCCCTTATTATCAATGTTTAGTGAGAGCTTCCTCTCTATCGAATATTTTGTATGTCTTGCCACTTGTGATTATGAGAAACTGTAGAATCCGATGTTGGTTGTCAGGGGGCCATCGCCAAGCCCGGGCCCCTGCCAAGATGGCACGACCCGCAAAAAAGTGGTGTGAGGAAGGGAACAACCAAGCATCGCGTCCCACGCCGAAGCTGTGCCCATAGCTTCCTCTCCCAACAAAACCAGTCGCGACACCACCAAAGCTTCCAGACAGTGTCGTGAATAGGTCAATTGCAGTTGAAAAATCAGCAGCAATGGCGGAGACACTGATGGAGGCTCCCAGGAGCTTGCTCATCCAGCTGCGCCTGGCGATACAGGAGAAAACGTAGGCCACGAGGATTGATGATGGCGCAAAGATTGGTTGCTAACTACTTTCAGGTCTCTTGATATCTCCGAGTCCGCATGGTCGATTGTCTGGTCTGGGATTGCTTTGTTTGCTGTTTGGTATATGGCTGTTCGGGAGAACGACAAGCCCATCCTCTATCGAGTCCCGTCGCCGAAGGTTCCTGAGAACGTCGAGATTCTCGAGGAGCCAGCTATCAAGGTGCGCAGGAGGTCACTGCATCATATTAGAATATACCAGGAGACTAATTGCTTGTATTCAACAGGTCTCTGGATCTACCGCTGTTCAATGCTATGCGCCGGCTACAGGCCAGTTCCTCGGCTTCGCCAACCCTTCCTCCTCGAACGCTATCGACCGTGCCATTGAGCAAGCAAAGGCCGCCCAGGAGCAATGGGCCACCACCTCGTTTCGCGAACGCCGGGCGGTTCTTAGAACCCTGCTTCAACATGTACTTGACAACCAAGAGGAGATCTGCCGCGTCGCCTGTCTCGACAGCGGTAAATCCATGGTCGACGCCCAGCTCGGCGAGATCCTCGTCACGGCCGAAAAGCTCGAATGGACCATCAAGCACGGTGAAAAGGCCCTCCGCCCCTCCCGCCGCCCTACCAACCTTCTCATGAGCTACAAGCGCAACACGGTCTACCACGAACCCCTCGGTGTTGTTGCGGCCTTGGTCAGCTGGAACTACCCCTTCCACAACTTCATCGGCCCCGTCATCTCGGCTCTCTTCTCCGGCAACGGCATCGTCGTCAAGGTCTCTGAGCAAACCGCCTGGTCATCCGGTTACTTCACCTCGATCGCGCGAGGTGCTCTCGTCGCACACGGGCACAACCCCTCCCTGATCCAAACGGTAGTCTGCTGGCCCCAAACCGCCTCCCATCTCACCTCCCACCCTGGAATCTCCCACATAACCTTCATCGGCTCCCGCCCCGTCTGCCACAAGGTCGCCGCCTCTGCCGCGAAGGCCCTCATCCCCGTGGTGGCTGAACTCGGAGGGAAAGACGCCTCCATCATCCTCGATTCCTTGCCCGACCGTGACGTCCCCCGCGTGGTTGAAACCCTGCTGCGAGGCTCCTTCCAGGCAGCGGGACAAAACTGCATCGGCATCGAGCGCATCATCGCCACCCCGGGCATCTACGACAGACTTGTTTCCCTCCTCGAACCTCGCGTCAAATCCCTCCGCCTAGGCCAAGACAAGGACGTGGGCGCCATGATCTCGGACAGCTCCTTCTCCCGCCTCGAATCGCTCATCTCGGAAGCCGTCTCCAAGGGGGCGAGACTGCTGGCCGGCGGGAGGAGGTACACCCACCCTGACCACCCCAAGGGTCACTACTTTACTCCCACTTTGCTGGTCGACGTGACTCCCGACATGGCCATCGCCAACGAGGAGTGTTTTGCCCCTGTGATGACGGTGATGAAGACGCCCTCCGACAGGGTGGAGGATATCCTCTCGGTAGCCAACGCTCCCGATTTCGGGCTGGGAAGTTCTGTTTTTGGAGCGGAGACGGACCCGAGAATACCGGTGATTGTGAAGAAGATCAAGGCGGGAATGATCGCGGTCAACGACTTTGGGGCTACGTACGCGGTGCAGCTACCTTTTGGCGGGGTGGCGGGCAGTGGGTACGGGAGGTTTGCCGGGGAGGAAGGGTTGAGGGGGTTGTGCAATGTCAAGTCGGTGTGTGAGGATCGGTTTGGGGCTTGGTGGTGGTTTGGGGGGGTGAGGACGAGTATCCCGCCTGCGATGAGGTATCCTGTGAACGACCAAGAAAGGAGCTCGAGGTTTGCTAGGGGGGTGGTGGAGATGGGGTACGCTCCGGGGTGGGGGAGGAAGCTGGCGAAGGGGTTGGGAAATATTATGGGGAACATGTGAGAAGGTGACGGGTGAGGCAAAAGGAGGGTAAGGTGTGAGATAGGGGTGGTATATATAATGAATGGGTGTTGAGGTGTCTGAATAATAATGATATTTCAAGTTAAGTGTCAAACGAGTAGCTCGTTTCGGGTGATGGCATTTCCCAGTCACATCGGGCATCACACACTGGCCAAGACATTTTGTATTCACGTGTGCCAATTGTATGCATATATATATATATATATATATATGTATATATAAAACCATTTGCTATACCTGTTGCTATACTTTGCTACAACACGCTTTCCTCTCCCTGTTAGTCGGAAATTAGGTATCCCTTTCATTGCCAATCTTCCCTTCAACAAGGTCGGCAAAGAAACCTAACCCTGCGTGGACAACGCAAAGAAATTCATCATCATGCCCTCTCCTGCTATTCTGACCCGCTGTCATCCATCATCGTCATTGTTGTGGCCTCCCATACATCCATCTCGTGTTTGTCTGGGCGTGCAACCTTCTTCCTACCCTGAGAAGAAAACGAAGGATTCCAGCAAAAAATTGTCTCTTCTCTCTCTCTCGCGCTCCCCATCCCGCCCATCTCATCTCGAACTAGGGTATCCCGGATTGTCTAACAAAGAATCTGTAGGAAAGGAAAAAGATGATGAAAAAGAATCCCGCTGCCCACTTCGCCCATCATCAGCAAAGAGGCCCACGTTGATGCCCATTACCACACCGGGAGACAAAAGAAGGAAAGCGTCAACCAAAATCTAACATATGCCAGCCAGTTGTAGATTTCGCTGCAAAGGAAACAGTCCCATGGGCACTTGGTCGAGTGTAATAAGAACCGCTGAAGCCCACCATCAGAAAGACAAAGTACCCAAAAAGACCAGAAAACGCGGGCCGGACGAAGCCATGCCACAAAAACATAACATCACGGCCAGCCTTCTTCCCGCAGTCAACTTCGCCCCTCTCTCCTCACCCGTCTCCGCAACGCCTGATCGATCTATTCAGTGTAACCCAGGGACTCCCACCACACCAATCGCCTTGCTCCCGAAATTAAAGAGCGTTGCGACGCTTTACCATCATCGAGGCTGTTTCGTAGCGAACGCGCCAGCGTCATCGACCACGCCATCCCCGTTGTCTGCCCAGCACCAGGTCAAAATCATCGTGGTATCAGAGAAAAGCCATATACAAAAAGAAATACACCAAAAAGAAGCCACGACAAACGTAAATAAAAGAAAGACAAAGCATGGTTATAAATCCATGCTTTGATATTGATTCCGATAGTCCTGTAGAGTCTGCCGCGTACCAAAGCTCCAAAGTCCGATTCAGACCGAACTCGGAGGCTGGCCAATAACCAATTACCAAGGCTCGAGGTTGATCGGAGACTGACAAGGGTTCCAATGCCCATGTAAGAATTCCCTGCGCCTGAAGAAACGCACGGCTTTTTAGAGACTCATAGTCAACCACTCCCACTCTTGGGGCTGGCCGCCTGTACCGCTACCGCTCAACATGGTCGAGGACTGGTTGCCGGGCGCGCCTCTAGAGCCCGATCCGCCGGGAGGGCGTTGAGACACGCCGAAACTGCTACCGTTGGTAAAGCTCATACTGTTGGTGGCATGGGCTGAGGAGTAGCCGCTGCTAGATCCAACTGATCGGGCGGCTTCGTTCGAACCTGTCGAATTCTCGGGGCTATCAATGTCCATGCTGCTCGAAGGCTGGTCGGCAGCAGATCTGCTGTGGCGACGTTGGCGTTTCGAACCAAGAGTCGCGGCTCTGGTCAAGGATGCAGCGCCAGGACCAGGCGTGTTCTTGGGTGGTGCTGCGGCAATCGGAATAACACCCTTGCCACCAACCACGCCGCTGGTAGAGCCAGCGCTACCATGATAGCTAGTAGGGGTGCTCCCAGCCGTGTTGCCCCCCGAGGCGGGGCCGCTCGCGGGACTTTCGCCATCATGAATGCTGTTCGATCGGTGTTGGGCAGCCGGAGGTGTGCTCACTTGTGTGGGCGGAGGGTTGGCATTGGAAGTGATGGAAAGAGTGGAGTTCTTCCGGCCGGTCGCGCCCGACAGGTTGCTAGAAGAGCTGGAAGCGGCATTCTTCTTAGATCGAGTGCTGGTTCCGCTGACTGGCAAACTGGACCCTGATCCACGATTGCGTTTCTTGATTACGTCAGTCTTCAAACTGAGCGGACGGACTACTCCATGAAGCTTCAAGAACAGGCCGCAGGCGTTGCAAAGAGGCTGGCCCTCGGGGTTCCGGCGCCAGAGAGGTGTTGTGGTTGTAGCGCAGTTCGTGCACATGGTGGGAGCACTGCTGTCCCCTTGGTTGCCACCGGCGCCCTGGAGGTTCGTGGTAGAACCGTGCATTGATCCCGGCGGAGGTGAAGAAGGCCGGCTGGCTGCTACGGATGAGAGGCCAGCAGTGAACATGGCATCACCCGGCGGCGAGTTGGGGTTCGATTGTCCGAAGGAATGAGCCATGTTGGCCAATCCTGGTGTCGATGCCGTCCGGGGCATCTTGATTTGGCGTCCATTGGTCGTGCGGAACGACTGAGAGTGAGATCTAGCCAGACCGTAATCCCCATTCGCATCGACAAACTCGGTCGTCGTGCCCCCGATCGCGACATGTTTACGGGGTGGCCCGGCGGGATATCTCGCAGCTTGCGTGCTAAAGTTACCGGGCAATGTGGGATCCCACGCCAACGACGAGCTTGAGCTTTCGAAGCTGTCTTCTATGGTCATTGACAGGTTTCTGTCAGCAAACACTCCGCCCTCCTCATCATCCGACTCGGCGCCCCCAAAAAACATGGGCGGATCCTGGCCCAAGCCAACGCCGGGGGAGCGAGCAGCATGATCCTGTCCGAACACCGTTGACGGATCGATGTGACCAAAGCTACTCGGCGCAGTGAAAGCAGAGGTGGGGTCGGCGCTCGAGGCCGTCGTGGCGAACATCATGTTGCCGCTGTTCGGATAACTGAACTGCTGGCTGAGGGTGTTGTTGATACCGGACGGGCCCGGCCGATATGGCTGCTGGCGCTGGCGCATATCCATGGAAGCAAAGTAAAACCCCTCGCCGCCCTCGGCCAGTGGGTGAGGGGTGGAGACTGCAGATTGATATGCAGAGCCAGGGGGCGAGTAAAAGTCTGCGCCAGCAAGCGAGCTTGGTTGCATCGTGTTGCCGTTGTAAACAGAGAAGTGATCATGAGCAACCATAGGCGAAGTCGATGGCGAGAAGGTAAAGTTGGGCTGGAAAGGACCAGCAGAGGTGATAATAGGGTCGTTGTCGAGCTGGAAGGTGTCCAGGGGAAATGGAACACCTGGCTGATTGTTCGCTTGTGCCATGGTGTTTTGTTGCGAATTGTTGTTATCGAGTGAGTATTGATCAGCGTCCAGCCCGCCGGTTCCAAAGCCACCGTTCATGGCCGAGACGTGCGGAGAGAAGTTGGCAGGTCGTTTCCGGTTCTAGAGACACATTGACAAGGTCAGATCACCTGATCCTCAACGGGGATGCCTTGACACAATCACAAGTTGATACGCGGGAAGGGGGGGGGGGGGGGC